ATAGAAAACACCGACCTTACCTAACCTTCTTAGTATGTTAAGATAAGCATCTTATTGCTTCGTAATTACAATTATTACTTAACCTATTATAGGTATAGGTTAAGTAATAATTGTAATTACCTATTATAGGTATAGGTTAAGTAATAATTGTAATTACGAAGCAATAAGATGCTTATCTTAACATACTAAGAAGGTTAGGTAAGGTCGGTGTTTTGTATGAAGCTTTTCAAGGTAAACTAAAGTATTCACAATAAATTAGTGTGTCACATATGCACGTATTAAATAAGTCAATATTGAATGTAAGAAAGTGCGAGAACGGGTTGACCAATCCATGTTAATATCACTGCCAATATATCTCAAAATATCTCCATATGCGTCATTCCCAATTTGGTTTTGAATGACACCATTGGATAGAGCAGATTTTTCTGTACAAGAGTAACTTTTATTTAGGTTGGGATCTGTATTCCTAGTACAGCCAGAGGACTCTGAAAATGACACTTTTATATGCGAGGCGAAAGTATACTGTCCCCTGTCCCCTTCACCCTCTGCACCCCCTTCACCCTCTGCACAACCCTTCACCCTCTGCACCCCCCTTCACCCTCTGCACCCCCTTCACCCTATGCCCTTCCCCCTCACCCTATGCCCCCTCACCCTATGCCCCCTCACCCTATGCCCCTCACCCTATGCCCCTCCCCCTCACCCTATGCCCCTCCCCCTCACCCTATGCCCTCCCCCTCACCCTATGCCCCTCACCCTCACCCTATGCCCCTCACCCTATGCCCCTCACCCTATTCCCCCCTCACCCTATGCCCCTCCCCCTCACCCTATGCCCCTCCCCCTCACCCTATGCCCCTCCCCCTCACCCTATGCCTCTCCCCCTCACCCTATGCCTCTCCCCCTCACCCTATGCCCCTCACCCTATGCCCCTCCCCTCTGTCCCCCCCTCACCCTAAGCCTACCCTCTCTCTCCTTCAATAGCAATATTCCTTAAGCCTCTTTCACCTTCAAATCTTCACTCTTCCCCTTTCCCTCCCTTCTCCAAACTTCCTCCCTCCTTCCCTCCTTCCCTTCCTTCCTTTCCTCCCTCCTTCCTTTCCTCCTTCCCTTCCTCCCTCCTTCCCTTCCTCCCTCCTTCCCTTCCTCCCTCCTTCCCTTCCTCCCTTCCCTCTCCCCCTTCCTCCCTTCCCTCTCTCCCTTCCTCCTCAAGGCTCCCTGCCCTCACCAAGGTGTAGGACAGACACACACAACAGTATACTCTGTATATGGCGAGTGTCCCATGTTGTGGTTGGCGATGGACGTGCGTGCGCGCGAGTGTGTGGGAGCGGGTGTTGCCATACGCGCGCGCGAATGTGTGCGTGCAACAAATGTAAACATAAAATTTAATAACTGTAGAAAATGTGAGAAAAGGGGAAATAATTAAGTAATATTTTAATATGTTCCAGCATGAGATTTAGGCTCGGGTTAAAGCTCTGGGGAGGGAGGATTGACTGGGCGCCTATCATTTGATGTTCGTCCCTGTTCACCCAGCAGTAATAGAGGCCTAGTTGTAAGCCGATTGAAGGTCGAGTTCCAGGGAAAATTAGGTGTGCAAGGCTTACCATGAGCTATGGGAAGGGAAAGCTCTCAGCCTGCTAACAGGAGTCAGCAGTCGTCTGCTCCTGTACCCTGCTGTGTGTAAAACTAGTAGGGTAAGGCTTACCATGAGCTATGGGAAAGGGAAAAGCTCTCAGCCTGCTAACAGGAGTCAGCAGTCGTCTGCTCCTGTACCCTCCTGTGTGTAAAACTAGTAGGGTAAGGCTTACCATGAGCTATGGGAAGGGAAAGCTCTCAGCCAGCTAACAGGAGTCAGCAGTCGTCTGCTCCTGTACCCTCCTGTGTGTAAAACTAGTAGGGTAAGGCTTACCATGAGCTATGGGAAGGGAAAGCTCTCAGCCTGCTAACAGGAGTCAGCAGTCGTCTGCTCCTGTACCCTCCTGTGTGTAAAACTAGTAGGGTAAGGCTTAACATGAGCTATGGGAAGGGAAAGCTCTCAGCCTGCTAACAGGAGTCAGCAGTCGTCTGCTCCTGTACCCTCCTGTGTGTAAAACTAGTAGGGTAAGGCTTACCATGAGCTATGGGAAGGGAAAGCTCTCAGCCTGCTAACAGGAGTCAGCAGTCGTCTGCTCCTGTACCCTCCTGTGGAAAACAAAAAATCGAGAGCCTAAGGCTTTTAAATGTTCAGCCTTTATATATAAAAGTGATTGCCATGAAATGTCAACAAATTCTATCACTACACTAATCCGCGTAAAGTGACGGGCAAAGGTAATCATGCTGAAAATTATGGAACCGAAAATCATGCTGAAAATTATTGTGCACCTGGAGTGTGTGAAGTTTGTATTAAATGGACAGCTTAGATTTATGAGGTGAACGTCATGCATGACAAACTTAACAGAGTCTAAGACGAGAAACAGAGGGCTGCCTAGACTGTGTTTTGATACACACCGAAATCATAATAACGTGATATATCAAATGAACAAATCCACAAGGGCCGAGATGAGGGGTTCGAACCTGCGCACAAGATGTTCCCAGACGCGCATTAGTCACCTGTACCACGACATGGTCAAAAGAATTGCAACATGGAGTGCTACTGCCCTCACGAGGATCCCGAAGTTTCTCCCAAGCCCAATCGGGGCTCCACCCAATCCTCCCCCCCCCACCCCCTGCACTCGGGCTCTGTCAACCAGATATTCTACCTCTCCGCCCTTACTGCATTACACACCCAAGGTTCGAACCCTCATCACGGCCCTTGTGGATTTGTGATTTTGTTGATTGTATAAAGCCACTTAACACTATAGGTCATGAGAGGCTGGTGTACGAGAGGGAGACGCAAGCTGGGATAATTGGGAAAGGGATTACCTGAAGGACTGAAAACAGTCACAGAAGATTTTTTGAGTTAGAGGAAGGTGACGAGTAGGAGTCCGTGGGCCTATAGGACCTCATATATAGGGGAGCCGGTCGGCCGAGCGGACAGCACGCTGGACTTGTGATCCTGTGGTCCCGGGTTCAATCCCGGGCGCCGGCGAGAAACAATGGGTAGAGTTTCTTTCACCCTATGCCCCTGTTACCTAGTAAAATAGGTACCTGGGTGTTAGCTGTCTCGGGCTGCTTCCTGGGGGTGGAGGCCTGGTCGAGGACCGGGCCACGGGGACACTAAAGCCCCGAAATCATATCAAGATAACCTCCACTCTTCCTGGTTAGTGAATTGACCTATTAGAGGAAGTGAGCGCATTCATATCTGTGTTTGCAGGTGATACAAAGCTAATGAGTCGTGTAAACAACCAAGGACGACTGCAGAAAGATACAGGAGTGGCCAAACAAATGGTTGCTAGAATTCAATCCTAGCATGTGTAAGGTAATGAGTATGTGACAGGGAGAAAGAAGACCGGAAGTCGTCTTCAACTTACGCAACTTCATACTCAAACTCGACAAAGAATTCCAACTTCAGAATTGGCAAATTAATTTTGGCGCAATAGGTGGAACGAGGCTCGTAGGCCTATTGGAGTAGTTGGACCTCACTCCCCCCCCCCCACACACTGGTAGGTAGGCACTGATAGGCCAGCAGCATACACCAACAGTCTGGTAGACAGGTCGTTAACCGGGAGACACGATCAATTTCCGGGTGGGTGGGTATGTATGTGTACTCACCTAGTTGTAGTTGCGGGGGTTGAGCTTTGGCTCTTTGGTCCCGCCCCCTCCTCCCCCTTTCCTCAGTTGATTGACTCAACTGTCAATCAACTGGATTGTGTGTGTGCGCGTGGAGAAGGTGAGGGCGGCGGTCAACACGGATAGAAACTGATGCAAGAGCGAATAGAATGTCAGTGTGTTGGTAGATGTCGAGTGTGGGAGAGAGGTCTTGTGGGCGGGCCCCTGGCCAGCCTGTGGGGGCGGGCCCCTGGCCAGCCTGTGGGCCGCCATGAGCACGAGTCTCTTAACAAACCACTAAAAGAAATACAGCCTTATTAAATCACACATTCGTGCTAATTTTCCCCAGCACAGCAGCAGCGACCATCAGAGGTGTGTGTACACAGCCGGGTGTGGTGTGGGGTGTTTGTTGCTCCTGGACACTCGCTCAGTGTACTTGTGTATCTTAACTAATTTACGACACCACAGAGCCCCTCCGAAGAGGATGAAAATAAACAGTTATGAGACCCATTGTGTAGAGTCCGGTAGACTCCCGTTTTCTGTTTTGGTCCTTTCCCCTATCTGCCTATTTCCCATTCTCCTTTCCACCACCTAATTCCCCCTCCCCCTCTCCCTCCCATGCCCCTGTCCTACCACTATCCCACTATCCCTCTCCCACCACAATCACACCCCCATCTCACCCCCATCTCACCCCCTCTCCCTTCCACCTACATCCAACGAACCCTTTTTCTCCCTACATTTCATTGTCCCAGTCAATCTTTCCTCCATATTTTTTCTATCCTTCCTCTCTGTAATCATTATACAGACTCCTATTTTTCCATCCCTGATACAGCTTACTTTCTATCTCCCCTTCCATGATACCGACTCATAACTTCCCCTTCCATGACACTATCTCACAGCCTCCCCTCCCTTTACATTAGTCTTCCTTTCCATAACTCTCCTTTTACCATCCTTAAATTAATATAGACTCGTAACATTTTTTTAATACATTATAATCTCCCCTTGTATCATACAGCCTCTTTCCCTATCCCCTCTCATCATACAGCATCCCTCCCTGACCCATCCCGTCATGCAGCATCCATCCCTCACCCCATCATAGAGCATCCATCCCTCTCGGGGCCCCCCCCCATCACACAGCATCCATTGGCCCCCTCCCACTTGTACCCCCTCCCACCTACCCCGTCACGCTAGCCTGGCTTATCCACCGCTCCGCGAGCTTTCACGCTGTGCGCCTCTCCCATACACAATGCTTCCTGGGTCCCCCCCTCTCTCTCTTTCCCTCCCTCTCTTCCACCCTCTCTACCTTCCTCTCACTTCCCTACCCCGCGGTCGGCGCCGTCCCCCGGGAGCAGATTGGTCCGCGCAGCCGTGAGGTACGGACTTGAGAGCGTGAATCCGTCAGTTGGCGACCGAGTCTAGCAGCGCGAACATTGGCGCCGGTGTCAGTTGGCGCCCGAGAGACTGGAAGTGTGTGGAGTCACATTGGGTCAAGAGTTACGTGCTGGCGGTACACACCGGAGTGATGAGTTTATCGCAGATTGTTCGGATTAGCCGCGAGATGAGTTTACCGCAGTTGTTGAGAGAGAGGATGAGGACCATAGCGCCTACGGAAGACCGGTCGATCAATACCGTCAAGCGGAAGCTGTTCGGTCCGGTCGATCACGCCCACAACCTCAAGTTCGTTCACGAGGAGATGGCCAAGATCCAACAGGCAGACTGCAAGCGCTGGAACTTTGACTTCCAGGAAGAGAAGCCGCTGGAAGGTCGCTATGATTGGCAGCCAGTGGATGAGAATGTCCCTCAAGCTTATGAGATTCCAAATCTCACTAGTCGAACCTCACGATCAACTCATCAATCCTCATCATCATCCTCCAGTACATCGAGGAGAAACAAATTCGTCAAACGACTCATCAAAAGGTCTCCTCCTCCTCCCAGCAGCAAGTCGACGCAGAAGCTCTGTACAGACTACTTCAGACAAGTGAAGACGCCGCAGAACCCGGGCTTGAAACCCACGCAAGACAAGGCTGAAGTCCTGCCCAGCCCGACTAAGCCTGCCATCACTAAACTAACAGACATCTTGAAAATAAGGTCACTGAACGTCAGATAATGGATTACTTGTACTCCCGCGTGATACAACGATCATATGACCTTTCCAAAGGTCCAGTGTACTGTCTCTTGAACTCTTAAGTGACGTTCAGGAAAAACGAACGAGAAATTTACGTCTCCATGACGCAAGTGTTGTGGTTTGTGAACGTACTTGTGTAGACGGAGCCGACTCTGGCAAACAAACTTCTTCCACGTGAGTGTGTTTGCGATGTGACCTTCCTGTGTGTGACCCTGCCTCTGCTGTACGGCCACCATCCCTCCTATTAAACTCAAGCAGACTCCTTCGCAATTCAGTGATTCGCTCCATTTGCAGTGTCTGCCGTGGCGGAGACGACACCTGCAGCTGCAGAACCGCTGCCTGCAGCCGCAGAACCGCTGCGTTCACCCTCAGAACCGCTGCGTGCACCCGCAGAACCGCTGCCTGCACCCGCAGAACCGCTGCCTGCACCCGCAGAACCGCTGCCTGCACCCGCAGAACCGCTGCCTGCACCCGCAGAACCGCTGCCTGCACCCGCAGAACCGCTGCCTGCACCCGCAGAACCGCTGCCTGCACCCGCAGAACCGCTGCCTGCACCCGCAGAACCGCTGCCTGCACCCGCAGAACCGCTGCCTGCACCCGCAGAACCGCTGCCTGCACCCGCAGAACCGCTGCCTGCACCCGCAGAACCGCTGCCTGCACCCGCAGAACCGCTGCCTGCAGCCGCAGAACCGCTGCCTGCAGCCGCAGAACCGCTGCCTGCAGCCGCAGAACCGCTGCGTTCACCCTCAGAACCGCTGCGTGCACCCGCAGAACCGCTGCCTGCACCCGCAGCGGCAGCACGAACCAAAGAAGAACCAGTTCCTTCATCAACAGAACCAGCAGCTGTCGTAGTTGAGCCAACACTTGTGGCAGCAGAACTAGTACTTTGCTACAGTGGAACCAGAACAAGGAGAACCCGAACCTGCTCCAGTGGAACCGGTTTCTGCCTCGTAGCAGATTCAGTGTTGCAAGTCTGCTTCGTCCCCAGCTTGCACTCTGTGACCTCTTGCACCCCCCCCCCCCCTGACAGTGTAGCCAACCCCCCCCCCCCCCCGACAGTGTCGACGAGTCGTTTACCAAATGTTAAAGTTCCTCGTGTATGTCTAATCAAATTGTAAACATTTAATGAAAAAAATCACCACTAGATGGCAGCACCAGTGTGAACTCTCCTAACTTTATATCACAATTAACAAAGTTTAATTTGTTACTCGTCCCCTGGAAGCTGTATCATTCATATACCTATGTTAAATCATGGTATGAAAATTTAAAACGTTCTGAAGTCGTGATCGGTGTTTTTGTATGCCTATAGAGTCTATAATTAAAAAAATTAGGCATATAATTTGTTATGCCGAGGAGAAAGTCATTCGTTAATATAAAATAAGTTTTATATAATTGATGAAAATGTTTTAAACAGCGTTGTGACACTTATGTTTTTTATACATTTAAATTGCTTCAAAATTTTTAATTAATAACTTAATTCCCGAAAAAGTTGAAAATTACAAAAAAAATCTAAATCGTGCTGATTTTTTCTCCTAAATTTCTACAATGTTTTATATTGTGTGTTAATTTGTGTTATTTTTACTTGCCTTCGTACACGGTGCTAAATTACATTTTAACATTGTTAAATTTTCCCGAATAACAAATTTCCTGAGATCACTATCAACTGTTTTGTTAATTTTTCAGAAAGTTAAGTTGTGCTGCAATTTGTTCTATACACCATTACATTATAATTGAACATTTATGTTAATTTTTTAATAAGTTCTCCTATTTGTGTAAACGATCAAACTATATATATTTGTTAATTTATCCCAATTAAGCTTCTTCCCATATTTCGAGCCTGATTAACGATGTGGTCGTTAATCTTCATGAAACTGAACTCGTTAAGGCTTATGTATGTGTGGGTTGTAATATGTGTGTATGTGTATTTATATGTATATATGTATATATATTATAATGTATATAGAATGTCATGTTCGTGCTATTTATTTCAAATATTAAACAACTGATTCTATTTGTTTGTTTTTTTTAACAATACCATTTATATAGGAAATTATTAACAAACCCTACCCCCCCCCCCCCCATGTCTGAAAACGCAGGATATGACAACGTTTCGGTCCTTTGCTCGACCTTTCGGCCGTGAGAGAGAGGGAGAGGGGGGGGGGTCAATATAAGACACGTGGGAAGGTCAGGTGACAGTGGAGGAGTTTCTCTCTCTCTCGACCACATCAATAACAATAGAAAATAAAATGTACATTATATATATTCTTGTTTTAAAATTATAACCGCGTAAGATATTTACTTACAAAGAAATGTGAATATTTTGATGTCGGGTTACACACACTTCTTATATTGTAATATTATTGTGGCTAATTGTATTTATTGACTGAAAGAGATGGAGAGACATGGTGGGAAAATTGATAGGCTGTACGTGGGTGTTTCCGTCCGTGTTCTCGTTTTCTGTTGTGTTAAGGTGGATGGTGTTTGTGTTGGGGGTGAGGGGGGGGGAGCTCTCCTGTTCTGCTCTGTGTGTCTACTCCTCCTCCTGTGTGTGTGTGTGTGTGTGTGTGTGTGTGTGTGTGTGTGTGTGTGTGTGTGTGTGTGTGTGTGTGTGTGTGTGTGTGTGTGTGTCTCTCTCTCTCTCTCTCTCTCTCTCTCTCTCTCTCTCTCTCTCTCTCTCTCTCTCTCTCTCTCTCTCTCTTTTTCCCCCCCCCCCTCCCTCCCTCCCTCCCTCCCCCCCCCCTCTGCCTCTGCCCCTCACCCTTCCTTCTTCATACCTCTCTACCTTCCTTCTCCCCTCTCTACCTTCCTTCTCCCCTCTCTACCTTCCTTCTCCCCTCTCTACCTTCCTTTCTTCCCCCCTCTCTCCCCCCCTCTCTCCCCCCCTTTCCTCCAGCCCCCCCCTCACCCCCCCCCATAGTAATGTTCAACACTCAGGCAATAGAGATAAGATCTCTGTATATGATCAAGGACTCAACACTATTCATCTAAGGCTCTCACCATCACCTAGCAGAAAAGGACTTATTCTCTCAGTGTTGAATAGTGTTCCAGACGTCATGACGCCTTTTGAGGAACATTGTCAACGTCAGAATGGTATAGAGCGTCTATTGGAAGCTTAATTGAGCACTTATTGGAAGTTTGAGCACCTATTGGAAGTTTGAGAACCTATTGGAAGCTTAATTGAGCACTTATTGGAAGCTTGAGCGTCTATTGGAAGCTTAATTGAGCACTTATTGGAAGCTTGAGCGTCTATTGGAAGCTTAATTGAGCACCTATTGGAAGTTTGAGCACCTATTGGAAGCTTAATTGAGCACCTATTGGAAGCTTAATTGAGCACCTATTGGAAGCTTATTGAGCACCTATTGGAAGCTTAATTGAGCACCTATTGGAAGCTTAATTGAGCACCTATTGGAAGCTTAATTGAGCACCTATTGGAAGCTTAATTGAGCACCTATTGGAAGCTTAATTGAGCACCTATTGGAAGCTTAATTGAGCACCTATTGGAAGCTTAATTGAGCACCTATTGGAAGCTTAATTGAGCACCTATTGGAAGCTTAATTGAGCACCTATTGGAAGCTTAATTGAGCACCTATTTAACAGCCTTAAACAACTAGCAAAGCGATAAATAGCTTACCTAAAAATATGTTCTTAGAGATATTAAATATTCGAAATATTATAAGTCAGTGAACCAAAATGAATTACAGGAGATGGAAAGGATCTTAAGACAATGGCCAATATTATTATTTTTGAACGGATGATTTTTCGTAAACTTTGAGTTAAGATTTTGAACTTTGACATTGAATATTGATTTTAATGTTGTCTCTCCGTGAGGTACTTGTAGTACGACCTTGACACACCTTGTGGGACGACGTCTGACACTACCACGGGTGCTGTCACCTTAGTGTCAACAGATCAGTGAGTTTGACACAGCCCCTTCCCACTGTTCCCCGTCCCACCCCTCCCATCCCCTCCCTTCGCCACCCCTCCCTCGACCACAACCCGCACTGGACCCTTCGGACACGCTGGAATAAATCCTATTTTCCCTCCACCCGCCTTTCCCTGCCTCCCTACAACCCATTTCCCAATCGCCCCCACCTCCACCCCTATTGCCCACCCCAACTATATTAATGATTATTCCCATTCCACCATTTCCTTCACGTATCCGTCCCTCTTACCCGGCCTCTTTCTCATGCTCCATTCTTGTCCACTCTTCCACTTCCCTGTTTCTTCTGCTCTTTATTGTGTGGGCTCGCCTGTTCACCTATTTGTGCTGCAGGATGGAGCACTATAGCTCCTGGATCCCGCCTTTCTAGCCGCCGGTTATCTAAAGCATTGACTCCTTATTCCTAACTAACTTGACTCCCTATCATATCTGCTTTTAAAGTTATGAATGGAGTCTGCTCCTCCAACTTGCTGCCTTATTTCATTCCATTTTCCTCTTTAGTTCATTCCATTTTCCTCTTTAGTTCACTCCATTTTCCTCTTTAGTTCATTCACTCTTGCGCTAACAGGACACTTTATAACATCGCGATGACTCGGACGAGTCTAAAGCTTCACTTCATGTCCTCTTGCCGCCCGTCCTCATAAACAAAGGCCAAAGTCCATTCCATGCACCCGCCAACCCCGCTGTTTATGAATGAAAAACGGTTTACACATGACTCACAATTGATGACGTCCGAACACTTCCGGAACAAGTGCTTCACTGACGAATTTTGTTCGAACCACAACGTTGTAAATGCTTCACCCACGTACTACAAATACTGCAATCGCCAACAGAACCTAAACACCTGACCTAACCTAACCTATGCCTATATATACACAATATGCCAATATATTATAATATTAATTTATACTTGAGAAAATTCCTGTTTTGAATGAAGAGCATTTTACAATTTATAAATGCGTCTTTGGGGTCGACCGCTGGATGGGAATGGATATGGTCGGAGAATGGGTTGCCTCTTGTTCTATTGTTATTCATTGTGAACATTTCCCTTTCTTCCACTCTGTGAATCCCCTTTAGTATTTTAGATGTCTCTATTATGTCTCCCCTCTCTGGCGTGGTCAGTTTTAGTTCCTTAAGTATCTTCATGTCCCATCCCTCGCACCTCTGGGACCAGCCTTGATGCAAACTTCTTGAACCTTCTAGATTTCCCCCGTGTTTTATAGGTACGGGCTTCGCGATTGGGCTGCATACTCTAAGATGGGTCTCATGTAGGTGTATACAGCGGTCTAACAGGCTCCTTATTTAGGTCCTTGAATGTTGTCGTAACTCTGGCGAGTGTCGAGTACGCTGCTGACATCCAGTTTATATGAGCCTCGGGAATTAGGTTTGGTCCACTCCCAGGTCGTCTGGAGTCGTCGTAGGAAGGTACTTTCCCTTCATTATGTACTGTACCTTTGGTCTCCTGTCACCTGCTGGCATTTTCATAAATTTTACACTTGCTGGTGTTGAACTCCAGTAGCCATTTCTCTGACGATTGACATATAAGACTCGTATTGTAAAGTCATTTACATACATGAGAAACGCCAGGGGTCGCAGCACCGAGCCTTGTTACTCTCCTCCAGTCATATTTCCCACCCACCTCACTCTCACTCTCTGACTCCTATCCATTAGGTAATTCCTTAAACAGGTTAGCGCTTTTCAGCTTACTCCCGCCTGCCTCTCTCGAGTTTGTGTAGTAATCAGTTGTGTGAGGTACTGTATCAAAGGCTTTTTAGCTGTCCAGAAATATACACTCTGCCCAACCCTCTCCGTCCTGCTTTATTTTCACTGCTTTATCATCCACAATAGAAAGTTGTTTTCACATATCCACACATTAAAACATTGATTGTAACCATGATATATATGTGCTTCAGCCTACTGCTTAGACCTATTGTCTTATGTATGACCCACTGTCCTGCGTGACAGTGAATACTAGCATTAACCTCAATTTAATAAGACTATCAAAATCCTCAGATTAGGCAAAATTGTAATTAATTTTGTCAATAAAGATGTTAATAATAATACTACTACTTTATCATCGAACTCCTTTAGGTTCGTCAGGCAGGATTTTCCTTCCCTCAAGCCATGTTGATATTTACACACCTGAGTCTCTTCAGATGTATAACTTAGACTTTTCCTCATCATTCTTTCGAGAACTTGGCAAGGGATGCTTGTTAGTGATGCTAGTTTCTAGTTGAGTGCCTCTTCTCTCTCTGCTTGCAGCTTATTGGAACATACACGACAACACACAGTCTGGTCCAACAGCAACGATTGGTCTAGTGGTGCTAGTTCTTTCCGTACTTCCTCTGATGTTAGCTCAATATTTAATACTCTCTCATT